GAGGGACACTGGGGACATGGAGGGACATTGGTGTCTCTGCCAGCTCCATGTCCATCATGGTGACCAAAGTGCTGCGGCTGTTTGTGGTGAGATGGGGGGATTTGGGGGCGTTGGGGACATGGAGGGGCAGCAGTGGTGCCTCTGCCATCTCCGTGGCCATCATGGTCACCAATATCCAGGTGCTCTTTGTGATCACTGGGGGTGTTGGGGACACTGGGGATGTTTGAGGGAATGTGGGGGTGACATGGGACAGCGCTGTCCCCACAGCGTCCTCATGGTGTCCTCTCCCTGTGAGGGGGGGTCTGGCCACCTGCTCCCCCTCTGTGCCCCCCCTCCCTTCCAGAACCTTCCCCTCCTCCTCCAGGGGTGTTACCCACAATCCCCAGGGACGGCAGCAAATGGCCCAGGGGGATTAGGGGGGATTAGGGACAGGGACAGGGAGGGGGGGTCCCACAGTGCCAGGTCTCCTGGGTGTCCCCCGGGTCCCCCCCTGCTTGTCCCTGATGTCCCCCTTGTCCCCAGCCCCAGGGCTGAGCCCCCTGTGCCCCCTGACACCCCTCTGCCCTCCATGTCCCCTCACCTCACTCGATGTCCCCGATGTCCCGTGTCCCCCCAGACCCTTCCTACATCAACGGCTCCACACCGACACCCCCATGGCCCCTCACCGCCATCTCCCCATGGCCCCACGATGCCCCCAAACCCCCCAATGTCCCTGATGTCCCCAATATCCTCATGTCCCCAGATCCCCCAGATCAGCTACGCCTCCACGGCCCCCGAGCTGTCGGACCCCGGGCGTTACGAGTTCTTCTCGCGGGTGGTGCCGCCGGACTCGTACCAGGCTCAGGCCATGGTGGCCGTGGTGCGGGCGCTGGGCTGGAGCTACGTCAGCACGCTGGCCTCCGAGGGCAACTACGGCGAGAGCGGCGTCGAGGCCTTCGTGCAGAGCTCCCGCGAGGCCGGTGGGCTGTACTGGGTGATACTGGGTTGTACTGGGAGGGGCATTTGGAATGCTGGGAGGGTGCTGGATCATGCTGGGAGGGGCACTGGGCCATACTGGGATGTACTGGGAGGGTGAGCTCTGCAGGGAAGGGGGAGGTTCTGAGGCCTGGACAGGGAAGGTGATTGATCCCTATCCACACTGGTCCATACCGGTCCGTACTGGTTTATACTGGTCTGTACTGGGGCAGGGGGCCTGTGCATCGCCCAGTCCATCAAGATCCCGCGGGAGCCGAAGCCAGGGGAGTTTGCCAAGGTCATCGGGCGCCTGATGGAGACGTCGACCGCGCGCGGGGTCGTGCTCTTCGCCAACGAGGACGACATCCGGTGAGACCAGTGCACCCCGGTGCACACCAGTGTGCCCCAGTACACACCAGTCCTGCCCCAGTCCCTCCCCAGTGCTCCTCAGCCTGCTGGAGTTCATCCCAGCCTAGTCAGGTCCCCTCAGTCCAACTCAGTGGCCTCCCAGTCCTTTCAGTCCGTCCATGTTCCCTCCCAGTCCTTCACAGTCCATCCCAGCAGCCTCCACTGTTCATCCCAGTAGCCACCCAACCCGTTCCAGTCCCTCCCAGTTACCTCCCAGTGCCCCCAGTCCCTCCCAGTTTGCCCAGTAGCCGTGCCTGTCCCCGCAGGCGGGTGCTGGAGGCCGCCACGCTGGCCAACCTCTCGGGCCACTTCTCGTGGGTGGGCTCGGACAGCTGGGGGGCCAAGATGGCACCGGTGCAGGGCCTGGAGGAGGCGGCGCACGGGGCCATCACCATCCTGCCCAAACGGGCCTCGGTGCCCGGTGAGCGCTGGGGGCACTGGGAGGGACTGGGAGGGACTGGGGGGAACTGGGGGAACTGGGAGGGACTGGGGGGAGTG